AAAAAACATATTGATTTGATGTTCGGTAATATAATTAGAATAGCATTAATTCGTGAATCGTGCTAAGAGACGATTTCTTCATAACAGCAAATGGCATTTGTTGGCAACGCGTGCCGACTATTGTTGTCACGGGCTCGCGGACCACGTGTACGTCTTGGGAATTCGACTCTACGTCATCTACGTCTGAGTAATACGGATTAAAAGATTAGTAAAGTTCACGCTTTTTATCAGATGTCAGTTCCATTGCGACCTCGTAAAGACTGTGCCGATTTTCATGGGTATATTTCGATTTACATTTATGACTACTAATTTGGAATGATTTGTCTTCGTTAATCGGTCTAAGATTTAACCTACTATCTTCTGGATAAATCGCCCTTTACCACAAAAAAAATAAAACTTTCCTAGCATGTTTGTCGAATACGTCAATGTTCAAATGTTTGGCCAACTCTGAATTTCGCAAGTATATGAGTGAAATGCACCATCGCTGGTACACGTGGGAGCCTGGGGGATCGCGGGCGCAACGAGTACGCGCGGATGTCGGCGCGGAAATCTTTAGTTAGCGGCCGCGCGATAGATCCGCGCTCCCCCACGCTCCCCCAGCTCCCCCACGCTCCCTCAGCTTCCCAGCGCTCACACGCACCGCAATACACTTTAACTGTTGACATGCTTATCACCAATCATTACTATCGACAGTTTATCACATAACTTTTAGGGTTCCGTACCTCGAAAGGAATAAAACGGAAGGTCAATTAATAAGGCAGTTAGTAGGTAAAACTGTCACAGAGGTCCTTAATTGTTTCTGATGTAATCGATTAGAGCTATCTAGTTATCTTAAACTCAATCTGAAAAAGGCACTCAGACATAACCCTGAGTTCGATACCAAGATGTTAAAATGGCTACTTGAGCTAGTGCGATAATTAAACTTTTGACGCCTGACAAATGCTGAATTATCCCATGTTTTAATCACTTCTTTAGATTTATTTTTTAGACAAGGAATAAACGAGCAACGTATAATAATAAAATTAGTCATCAATGTATTATATAATAAAATAAAATTCAAAAAATCGATGGATTAAGTGATCATTTTGTTGCATTTTAAAATAAAAGTGCGAATTATCGTGTGCTATTTGAGGTGTAAGCTATTTCATTGTGTAGAGTTGAAGTGAGAGATGGATCTGTGAACGGTAATCCCCTGATGTAGGTCGATGACAACTGAGCATTCGTTCAACATTCATTTGTTCACGAGACGATGAGAATCAGAACAAGTGGGGATCAGTTTCAACCATCGTTCTAGGGTACGTATTATATAAAAAAATTGTAAACCTGTAATATAATACTTTAACAAAAGATTGTACGTAGTAAAATTTGGTACGATTCTCTTAAAATGTACTCGAATTTAAATTCGTTATTTTATAAATAAATAAATTTGGCAGTTAAATAACATAAAGCGAACATTTTACTAATATTATAAATGTAAATGTTTGGATGGACGGATGGATGTTTGAAGGTATATAGAACGGATTAACGGATCTCGATGAAATTTGGCATGGTTGTAAAACATAGTCTGGAAGAATACATACTATGGCTTTTTTTAATTCCGCGCGCGGACGGAATCACGGGAGACAATTATGTCATCATTTTCTCGTTTCTTAAATTACTACAGTTAGACATCAACGCGCTACTTTAACAAAAGTGAGTCTAATTGCAGATTTTTTTCTTTAGAAAAAGTGAAATAAAACTGGTTTTAAAGAACTTACCGTGGGTTCTAAGACCATATTGTTGTTGGATGATGAGAGATGAGATTTGGTGTCGGAAACCCACGATTAATCGAGTGAAAGTACTTATTATAATATGTTTTAATATTTTTTTAAGTTTGACATTAATAGATCTTACTAACAAGTAAACTTCTTAATTATTATTTTTTTCTTTGTAAATGAATACTTCTTTTTTTCTTTTTTTAAATTTCATATTCTATAGTACATTCTTTAACATCAATTTCCTGTCGTTCCTTGAGTTGTAATCATAACACAACGTCATTTTAAATCGTAATCAAACTGCGTTAACAATAATATTTACTGTCCAAATGCATTTTATTAATTTTATCCGGCGGAAGAACAAGCTTTTACTGAGTACGCAAAAAAGTTTATTAGTCATTTGGTCACAACAAAGCATTGCAAATGTAATTTGTGCCAACAAGTGTTTCCGGCCACTATCAAGGCGAAGTAGACGAAAGAATATAATGGATAAGCCACAATGAAAAATAAAAGAACAAACAATAAGACAGTTTCAATGTCTTAATATAAAGTGTAAAGGTACCTAGTAAACATTTTTTATTTTAATGAATTAAAATTATATTTCATTTTTATTATATGTTCGTATAAAAATTATGACCGATTTTAGAATTCTATAAATGAAACATTTTCAGCAAACGCTTAACAAGAAGTCAACGATTTATAATTGTTGCAAAATAAAAAAAACCACGTTTAAAAATGTACTCGATTATAATTTGCCTTGAACAAATAAATCTGTTCGTTCGTTATTTTCTAATTATTAAACGATTTTGTTAGGATAAGCCATAATTATTTATTTTACTAATCACCTTACCTAATCAGAATAAATACGTAAGAAGTAATAGTAAAGATAAATTTTAACACAATTATTTTCAATTTCACTACGCATTTAATGATATGAAATAATAGTAGAGAAATTAAACAATATTGACTACAAAAGTATACACTAATGAATATTAAATTTGCTTATTAATTAAAAGGCCAAATATTTCTGAAAAACCTTTTGCGATGTTTGAAATACCCATCTACGGTGAATTCCACAACCTGTTGCCGCCCATATTGAAAGCATTATTCAAAGCGAAATATTTATTTATTTGTATATAATAATATTAATACTTAGAAATAAAAGATTTTAAATATTAACTCTTTTAATAATTATTGGCATTCCCTCATTATTCTTTCCCTCTATTCAATTTTCCTTATCTGCGAATTGCAATTACGACTTTATAAAACCCCCATAACGATTACATCTTAACCGATTTAAATTTAGAGCTTTTTAAAAATAAGATAAAATGAATTTAAGGCTAGATCAACAGGTGGATTTCGCGAGAGGAAAATTTATGTTATTTATTTATCTGTCTAATTAATATGAAAAGATGATAATTTTGTTTCTTATAAAAATACTTACCGGCTTCGTGAAATAAATATATGTTAGCACTTAATAATTGTGTGGTGATAAACACAACAGCATCACTAAGATCGTAGCCGCGAGCCGCTGAATCGGCACGTGCGTTTCTCACGACTGCCGCGAGCTGACTGACGAGCCACTCTGTCTGGTCTTCCTAGGATCCTGTGGGGGCATCGCGAAGGGCTGCGGGACGGGAGCCCGTTATGCGGGGGGGCGGGCGTGTCGATTGATCTGCGAGGCTTCCGGCGACATTTCATGTCCTGAATGAACCTCTCGACTCGTATGTAACTAGGCCTACGTAGGGCGGAGTTACGATTATCGAGGGATATGTATCCGACTATTATATCTCATTGCGACATATTGACATGTTTTATGACATAAATATAGAGAATAGATGAGGCTTCTAAACTTGTTGCGTTTTGTCTACGACTTAACGTTACGGCGACGTAGAGTTCGTAGACGTGCTACATAAAACTTTAGACCTTGACGATTCACTTAGTTCCTGCGTTTTGGTAAGATATAATTATAATTAAATAAAATGTAAATTACTGAAACACGTTCTTTATTGAATTTATTTTTTGGAGAGTTTTCACTTGTATAATGTGTGTGGTGTGTTGTTTAAAATGTTTTCATAAACTTTTATTATATGTTTTCTTTATTTGCTTTACATACAACATCGTATGTATATGTATATTAATATCGTATACCACGCCATACAAACCCGCGTCCTGTAACTAATTCCCCTACACGATCGCTCTGCACATAGATTAAAAATAATTAACACAAATTATGACGACCTTAAACGCGCTGGCGTTAGTTGGACCAACACACCAATTATTACATCCGACATTGTTAATACCTATTTAATGTCGGATCTAGTTAATATAAACGCTGTTTTATACAATTTCCGCTAAATTATATTATTTTGGAGCTTTACTTCAGTTGTGTTGAAATATGACCATTATTTCAAACAAAAACTTAATGCATAAATTAATATGACCTTGCTGTATTTCTTCTTAGACTTTAGCTTTTTAATTTTGGTTTTTACCCTCATAGACACTGCGTATATTAGAGAATGTTTGATAATTTTAAAAGAAATATGACGATGAAAATTTATTAATAGGGTGATAAATAAAAAAAGCCAAGGCACGGTGGGAAAAGTATTAACATGCGTTTATAATCTGTAATGTTATTTTTTTTCTGCTCCCTTCCATTATTGGGTTACCTCAGGCCCTAGTTAATCGATGTAATTATAAGGCAAATAAGAGCTTATTTATATTGTTTACCTTTATAACATTACGACACTACTCTACTACTACTCGTACAACAAGACATCTAGATGTCTTGTTGTACGAGGTGTAGTCGGAAAAGACACCTCTAAGCATTCCTTATAATTTACACTGCGGCGATCTTGTTTAATCTGACCATCTCGCTCATGGTCAGCCTCTCAGTCTAGTGCCTTGCGGTGTTAGGATTGTTATTTTTAATTAAAAGTCATTTTTACAGTTTGATAATTGCTTATTTGTTATAAATATATATTTAACTGTAATAGGTTAATATTTATATCAAATTCAGGAAAAAATTACTGACGTAAAATATTTTTCGTGAAAAGAAACTAAAATAAATAAATAATCTGTTTCATTCTTTGACTTTGACAATTCGACTTTGACAGGCAGCTGACAAGTGGAAGAATAGAAATAACAATAAACACAAATACAGCACAAGAATTTCAAATATTTATTATATTTCGTTATCATTATTTTCATAACGTGTGAAATGAACACACAAAAATATTTGTAAGGTGTATCGCAAATACCAATTTATTTCTTTGTTTGCATGAAACATGAGTTTTAATTAAAAGTGTAATAAAAATGTCGAAAAAACTTTGGGGAGAATTTGAAGACGACGAAAACGATGATAACATACAGCAGACTGTCAACTTTAATCCCATCATAGAATTAGGCATGCAAAATATACCAGAAATACCTATTACTGTCAAATCGTCACCCATAGAACTACCAAAATCGAATTTAATAACTCACACGATTCAATTGCATGCATACTCCAGGCAACTAAATGCTATATTAGAACAAACTGAAAATGCAGTTTTCGAGGGTGCTCGTCTAGATGTAATGAGCTTACCAACGCCGCCTCCTGAACTAAGCACAGAATTAGAACATGAATCCAAACCACCGATAAACTTTCTTCAAAAAGAGTATTGCGATTTTTCTCGTGGAAAAGGACCAGTTATTACGCCGTTCACACCTGAAAGTCATAAGCGTGCGTTACGCCAATGCGCAGCTATTGCTCTCGGCCACATAGGCATCACAACTTGTACCAACACAGCCCTGAATGCAATGGCAGATGCCTTGGACCTTTACTTGAATAATATGTGCAAACTTATGAGAACCATAGTAGATAGAGAAGCGGGTGGTATAAAGTCTGGTTTCCCTGATGTGATGGCAAAAGTTTTTGCAGATCTGAATGTTGGTAATCTTCATGAGTTTTATCAGAATCGAGTAATCAAATATCATGCTAAAATGAAACGAACATGTGAAGACTTAAAAGTACAGTGTGAGTCTTTGGCTTTAGGAGAGCTCGCTCAACCGCTGGAAGAAGTGCCAGAGTTACATTTCCCAGCAGCACTAGATGATGCATTCACACCTTCACTAGAGCCTGGTTTTCAAATGTTACAAAGCTTGGAGCAAGATCAATTACAAGGTCTGGATATTTTGGAAGCTGTCACATCAGATGATATAAGAGTAGATCATATTGATTTCTCACAGCCTGAAACAGTTAAAATATCATCTCTGTCACCTGGTGCAAGAAAGAAACGAAAATAAATGTTTAAGCATACATTTTATGACATCTTTTATTTGAATACTAGCAAAATGTGGCTCTTTTGGAAAACTTACTACTTACTATTATAAAATATGAGTTAAACAATTATTGGTTTTAGAATTTTGTAATAGATGGCATAACGAGTACAATAAAATTCTGATAAAATAAAATCTTATAAAAAGATACATCTATACCAATATCAAAAAGAAGAAAATCTAATTGTTTCCACTGGACAGGCTCCGTAACTACTAAACTGATTTGAAAAATTCTTTTGCTGTTAGGAAGCTGTATGTCCCTTGATGACATAGACAAACACAATGTTTATAATTCTTTATATGACTGCTAGTCTAGAAATAATATTAATTTACGTCCCAAATCTGAGTCATGTTTTCTTAGTAAAATGTTCCACAAAAATGAACATTATGGGATAGTACAGAACTCTATTTGCTATCAATGATAATTTCTACTTATTGTTCAAAAAACTAAGAACTATGGTGTACTTAACATTACTGCCTCTATGATTTTTAACTTACATGAACTTACCAAGCAATTTGGTGGCACTGAATTTGTTACATCTATAACTTTTACCTAAAGGGAGTTATGGAAATAAAACAAGTATTTAGCACCAAATAATTTATCCGATTGCGATTTTCAAAACACAAAGTTTGACAAAATTATTTACTGCCAATATTCTGCTACATTTACATTATATACACAATTTAATATTAAATCCAAATTTTATTATTATTTAACATTAAAAATAAATGGTTAATTCCAGTGCATCACATGTTGAAACATAAAAATATATGAGAGTAGATTCAAAAACTATTATTTTTATATAAATTATTGCTAAATCTTACACATGCATAACAGACAGTTCAATTAGAAACATTTAGTTTTTTTATTAGTTATTAATTTACACCAATTTTTCATAATTTTATTTATTAAATGTCTTCAATAAGGATACATGATTTTTTCATAACATGATTTAAATTATAATTTTATTTAAACTTTTAAATCCAATGTAACTAGTAAAAGATAACTGTCTTGACTTAAAAATGGATACCAGTAAAATAGAACAGTATTGCTGACCTAGCATGGATTGTATAGGCTCACTGGTGTCAGATTTGGAGTCCTACTGTACTGACATAATATAAATCAAGCAAGATATGTTAAAGAGTTGAATTACTTTTTCAATAAAATTATTATAGTATCCTAATAGTTAAATAGTATTGTGATGCCTTTGTTTAGATTTTATACATAAAATATATAGGAATTTAATATGGATACATATTTTTCTCAAGCACTTAATGTTTCACATTAAAATAGTTGGTAAAATATAAGCCCAAAAAAATGCTGCAAAATCTGGATGCCTATTCACTGTTTAAAGATAATTAGGAAATATCCTAGAATAAAAATTACATTTCATTTATTATCATAATTAGAGATGAAAGAAACACAATTTGAAAGATTTTAAAATTACAATTACGAGCTATAATTTGAGAAAGATACATTGAGAATAAAATTTATATAAACTATAAGAAATTCATCATTGTCATGTAAGGCACTGGACATCTTAAATTAATGACTTACTTAAAACAATCTTAATAATGGAATGAAGATCATTAAACCATAATAAACCAAATAACATTTGAACAAACTTAATTTTTTCAAAGTATACTAACCTATTAATTCTAAAATCTATCCAGTAGTTTTAGGTATGATAGCAAATAAGATTCATGAACTACATATCTTATTATTTTTTATAAACATCTTCACAGATCAGAATTTCACATATTTCACTGTTTAAAATGACACAGATGGAGGCATACTGCCCAGCATACTTATCCTTAAGCTGCCAAAAGGTTGACATAGCCTTTAACTTCTTTATGTAGGAATATGCTTGTCCATGAAATATTTAATGAATTTACTACAAGAAATGTTAGATTGAAATTCCTAATTCAAAGAACAGGAAAATCATTATTACTTGATGTTTAACTTACTAAATCAACCAAATAGTATTAAATTAAGACAAAACTTCCTTCTTAAGTATCTTGACCCTGATTTTATATGAAGTTTCTTAAGAGAGATATTTAAAAGTTTAAAATCTAATACACATCAATGACTGTACAAATCTAAATTACCCTCAACATTAAGTCTTCTTCTGCTGTGTGGTTATCTTCCTTCGGAACAATAGTATGTGGGGTTCTGTAATGAAACAATATGTTTACAATTATAACATGTAAAGTTCCCTTATGTTAGCTTGGTATTTCACACAAAAGACATTGTTGATGTTACTGGCAACAAAGGAAAAATAAAGAAAAAAGTATATTATGAATGTGGCTTTTGCTGGATGTGTTTTGTTTTGGATTTTCATTAAAATATGTTAATGTAGTTTTTAATAGTTTTGGGTTACTTCTTTCCTCCCTCTAGCACAAGTGACTCACTTTAAAATATATTAAGTATCATAAGGACATACAAAGATGAGACACACTTATACCACCAGTACAAACATGCACTCTCGGAAAATAAAAACCTATGCACTTGAGGTTGTAACTTAGATAAGTATTTATAAGCAATGTTATTTACCTGGTTGATGTGTCATATAATGCACCCATCCTTGACTCTGTTGCACTCCAATGTTGCGCCATTCCTGTTCAGACATAAGATGGTTCTTGGGCACCAGCTTCACCATGTCCTTTGGTAGTACAACATGTCTGTAACATGTAAAAATAAAATCTGTACACCATTTAACATATGTGTTGTTCCAAATCAATACAAAGGTTATAGCTTAACTTTTATTTTAATAAGAAAAATATAGCCTTCATATTGTTGAAGAATGAATTAAAGAATCTTAGTAATTTTAAGTTTTTCTTCAAATATGCGTTGAGATTTTGTAAATATAATCTTTTCTGGCTATAGAAGTTTATGGAAATAAATTTATTTTAGTATTTGAATCGGGAACATGAACGCAAGAACTTACGACGCTTGACAGCGTGTTATTATTAAACTAAGAAAATTAAGACATTCGGACAAAACGCTAAAACCTAAACATATAATGTAATTATAAGAAAATCGATATATTTGCTCATTTATCAAATGTTTAATATTGTTTATTTAGTCGGTTACATGTAAATTGACGAATGTATTATCTAGAATATTCAGGACCAACTTAAATGTAAATGTAGCAATGAAGTGATTGTTTAAAATTCACAAATTTAAATAATCGAATGACAAAGTTAAACATACAATCATTAGTATGAACAAATAATTACCTGTATTCGAAATCATCGTCATAATATTTGTCGGAATAATAAATATCACGGGCCGGCATTTTTAACAACTATCGTTAATACTTCCTGTGTAGAAATTACGAGCACGATAGGTATTGTAAATCTTAAACGTTCTGGTTATTAAATCTGCAAAAACAATCACTAAAAAGAAAACAGCAGTCGCTCCAATTAACTGCAAAACTTGGAAGTCACACTTGCACTTCAGTCACACAATTTTATAACAAAGATTCGTTGGTAACGAATTTCAAAATTTAAAAGCGTTATTGTTGCCAGTATATGAAATTATTGTGAAAATCAAAGAGTAGATGGAAAGGTCGATGTGACTGGTGGATGCTACCAAATTAAAATTATTAAAAAAACCTACTATACTGTAGTAATATTGTATATAATTAAAACTTCCATCACTAATAATCGATTCCATTATACATAATATAAAGAGAATAGCAAATACACATAGCCTTCTTTTAAGAACGCAAAAAGTAATTTTTAAGAAACAAATAGTATCGTTCATAATAAATAAAATAATTAAAAAACTGTACATATATTTTATTCATGTGTTTTCCAAGCTTATATTAGTATAGGCAACTTTCTGTTTTTCATTTCCTCCTGTGGGTAGTTCAGATTGTATTTCTTTTTCGTTACTATGTATAAATCGTATATGCCTCTTAAGATGCGAGGCACGGGTGAGGCGCATGCCGCAATAACAGCATACGTGGGGTTTTTCACCAGAATGTGTTATCGAATGTCGCTTCAAATCGCTTTGCGTTATAAAAGCTCTTCCACATGTTGCACATTCAAAATTCTTCGCTCCAGTATGTCTTCTGAAACCAGAAATCGATTTTTTTTCTAAAGTATTGAATAATTATAGAATGAGAGCATTATAAAGTTTGATAGTTTTGTCTATTGTAATTTAAACAGACCTTACAAAAATTATTATGAAGCTATTAATGCACATTCTTGATAGAAAATGTAACATACTATAGATTCTTGGGAGACGGATTATGATGGACATAAGATTTAGTCATGGGAGATTGCACAGTTTATTTTTACATTGAGTTTATATCTACAATTGAATCTCATAATATGTCAATTACCTTATATGATACTGCAAGTGGCCAACAGTACGAAAGTTACGTGGACACAAGATGCACTGGTATGGCTTCTGACCAGTATGTTTCCGTCTATGCACTGCAAGGCCTGCAGAATGTGCGAATGCTTCGCCGCATATTGTACAATTGAAGGGTTTTTCCCCCTGTTTAAATAAACAAAATATATAATTAGACTAAAACATCAATGCAAGTTTTATAAGAACTTTAAAAACTTAGAAAAAATTTGCAAATACACCTACACAATTACACATTGAGTTTAGACATGATTTAGATTTAAATAAGCTTCAATCCAACAATCATCAGTGATGCTACTCACAAGATAAAATTTAAATCATGAAAAGGAATATTATGTACCGTATGTGTCCTGAGGTGGACCTTCAAATTTTGTGCTAATGAAAAGTTTTTGTTGCAATGAGGACAAGAAAACGGTCGCTCTCCAGTGTGCGTCCTTAAGTGTGTTTTCAAACGAAATCTGGAATTTGAAAAATATTAAATCATAATAATAAAGTACAAATATATAAAGATGATATTGAAATTTTGCATTTAATATTTTAACGATTGTAATTTTTTCTTCAATTATGTTCTAAAGGGACATTTTATAAATATTGTTATACAAATATAAAGGTATTCAAATGAATGTTAAGAACTAAAGATATAAAATTATTAATCACATTTTTATTATTATGGATAATAAACAGGAGTTAATTTGTAAGAATATATAAATTTTAATGGGTGTTTAATACAATACCCACCTAGAGGACATTACCTTTCCACATTTAAAACATTGTTGTTTCCGAGATTCACGGTTTTCATTTTTTGGGATATCTGAACTGCTATCTAAGTTTATATCTTTTTCTTTATTAATACCATCTGTAGGTCTTTCTTGTGCACTAAAGTTAAGGTTTTTGCAGATATAATCATTTTCAAGTTCAGAATTATTTATACTATCATCAATATTGGTTTCTGTATTATAATCGTGTTCTTCTAGTATCTCTGATTTTTCAAAACAATTAATATTTGATCGTAAAATATAATCTGATTTTTCACACAATTCAATAAATTCGATACATTTATCAAGCTTTTCTGTGCATGTTTTACATATTGTTGATGGTAACCCATCATTGGGGCTTATCTAGAAAATAAACTTTTTAGCAATTTAAATACATTGAATTAACAATTTATGTATGAAAAATATAGAGCGATGTAAACTTACCTTAACATTAGCTATAGACATAATTTTTGAAGATAATTTTAATGATCCTTTAACTCCAAAAATACATACAAAAGATCCTCTCTGTAAGCAAATTCTACATTTTTCATCCATTATATGTTCATAACCAATTATATTAACCGAGTTTCAGTAAAAGTTTGTATTTTGCACAACAATTGCACTAACGGTGATAATATTAAAACGACAATTAAAATTAATTAAAAATTCTACAAAATCAACAAATGACACACTACTGCACACCACATGAAAAACACATATACACACACATTCGTGTTCGTGTAACTGTGAATGTCAAGTGGCTGTGCCACACTTGGGTGTTACAAAGAGTACATAGCAACATACCATCTAATTTATTAAAGTTGCCAGTATCAACTTGCACAGATATTACTTTGTCAATTAACGCAATTTTACTGCTACGCATAGCCCGAATTTATCAATAAGCTACCTATAATTTTGTAGGTTAATACAAATTATCGGTAAATAATAATAGGAAGCAGAGAAATATAAAAACTGCACCTACCCTACCAATTAAGTTAAAGTAGGTTAAGAAACCGGTACATCATACATCACGCGATGTGCAATTAAGTCAAGATAGATCAGTATCTTATTTTAACTAATATTGACACAAAAAATAACAATAATTAATTACATACGTTTAGAATCCCAGGGTTGCGTTGCAGTTAATTTTTAAAAGAATTTTCGGTTTTTGAATTCGTTTTTTTTAATTAAAAGTGAAATGTCTACAATAAAGCTTTACTATTTTCCTGCAAGTGGTGCAGCCAGAATTGCATTGATGGCTGCAAGATTAGTTGGAGTTCCTATACAATTAGAAATTGTGGATTTAATGAAGAAAGAGCAATATAGTGAGGCCTATTTAAAGATAAATCCACAACACTGTGTACCCACTCTTGATGATGATGGTTTTATACTTTTGGAGAGTCGGGCAATAGCATGTTATTTAGCGGAAAAATATGGAACTGATGACACAATTTACCCTAAAGACCCTAAAAAGCGAGCAATTGTAAATCAGCGACTGTATTTTGATTGTTCGAATTTAGTTGTTAAGATGAGAGCTATTTGTGTATGTATCCAAACACTTCTTTTTTAATCTTAACTTTTTAAAACTAACTTAAATGTCTTTTTCTAGTATCCTATAATATACAAAGGTGAAACAGAAATAAAAGAGAACCTGCGAGATGATTTTAACGAATCATTGACAATTTTGGACAAGTATTTGGAGAACAATAAATGGGTTGCCGGTGAACATGTAACTATTGCGGACACAACCATTTATGCCTCTATGTCCGGAATATTTGTAAGTTAATATTAAAATAAAACTAACCACATTGGGAAACAATTGATAAAGATTTCCATACTGCACCTGCTAACCTGAAACTAGAAATGAGGTAAAAAGGTCTGTTAAAAAGATATTAAAGAGAACTTGTTTAGTATCTGTTCATTAAAAACCACATGAAAATCTAAAATCATTCTTTTTCCAAATCCCAGACACAAAGAGAATGGTGTTAGTGGTCAACTTTAGAATTGTTTTTGTTAACAAACACATTCTATTTTCAAATTCTAATAGGATCTCTTTATGTATGATTTGACTTTTTTGTTTTCAGGCAATAGGTTGGGATTTATCCACTTTTCCAAATATCCAACGCTGGCTCAAAGACTGTTCTAGTTTGCCTGGTTATGAAGAAAATGAAAAAGGCGCTAAAATGTTTGCAGAAGCTGTAAAGAAGAATCTTAAACAATAATGTACATACATTATAAATTTTATGAATAAAATTATGTTATGGTTCTATAAAAAAAGAGTTCACGGAAGAAAACAGTTACAGCTAATTAAGAAAGAAATGTTAGTTTTTATACAAGTATTGTAGTTTAGAATAATATTTCAAGCAATAATTTCTTTTATATTTTCAATTAAATATATTTACTTAAAGGTTTCTGATTTTTTTAATATGTATTTATTTCCTTAGGTAAAATATATATAAAATATTAACTTTTGATACACAATTAACCAATCATTTGTTAAACAATTGATAATTTGATTCCCACCTCGCGATATAATAATGCTATATAAATTTGTTAAAGTCACCATCTTTAGGTAGATTTGAAATGACATAATGTTCAGATAAAATTGTAGATAAGATTATTATTTAGTCAATTCATTGGGCTTCATTGCAAAACAAGTAGAAAGTTGATAGTGTTCCATTAATAAAAAACGAATATGTCTTCAATTAAGCTATACTATTATCCTGTAAGTGGCCCAGCCAGAATTGCATTGATGGCTGCAAGATTAGTTGGAGTACCAGTACAAATAGAAATTGTGGATTTAATGAAGAGAGAGCAATTTAGTGAGGCGTATTTAAAGATAAACCCACAACATTGTGTACCCACCCTTGATGATAATGGTTTTATACTTTCGGAGAGTCGGGCAATAGCATGTTATTTAGCGGAAAAATATGGAACTGATGACACTGTTTACCCCAAAGATCCTAAAAAGCGAGCTATTGTAAACTAACGACTATATTTTGATTGTTCGACGTTGCTTGTGAAAATGCGAGCTATATGTGTTTGTATGCTTTTCTTATTTAATTTTTAGGTGCTTATTTTATTTTTATGTGGATGTTTGTTAGAAATATCTCCAGAACAGCTCCATGGATCTCGTTTAAATATGATGTGGAGATTTGAAAGAAGACCATAAATGTTGTTTTTTTTTATAATTCCGCGAGCGAGGGATAGTTTATTTATCAATTAAAAGATTAGAATTAAAAAATATTACATTCTTACCTTTTTTTACATATTCTAGCACCCAATTTTATTTAATATTGAAACGGAAATAAAAGAGAACCTACGAGATGACTTCAATTCATCTTTATCGATATTGGACATGTATTTGATGAACAGCGAATGGGTTGCCGGTGAACATGTAACTATTGCGGACACAACGATCTTTGCCTCCATGTCTGGAATATTTGTAAGTCGATGGAACATTAAATTTAAAAATATAACAGTAGAGCTTATCAGTAGCAATTTCTTCTCAGCGTCCGATACTTCTTTTGCTGCTTATTCAACCTTGATTAATCAGATACTTAATTTTTTAGGCAACGGGTTGGGATTTATCATCGTTTCCGAATATCCAACGATGGCTTAAAAACTGCGCTAATTTACCTGGTTACGAAGAGATTACAAAAGGAGCAAAAATATATGGAGATCTTGTAAAAAAAAATCTGAAGCAGTGAAGTTTTTGCTTTTATTACAGAAAATTAATATATATTAGAAGGAAGCAATGTTTTATTTATATATTTTATTTTGTTTATATATATGAAAGATAATCGGCAAAGTGTGTGAAAACACAAAAAATGGCGGGCTTATTTGAATATTGTGCCCTGGCCGCGCAACAAGTGTTTTTGGCTTGTATTCGTTTTTTTCAACACACACATACATAGGAAAACAAGTAAACAAGTTTGATTTGACGTTTAGCCGGTCTTTATCGCACAACTTTCTTTTTCCATTTTTAACTTTCTGTATTTTCGTGACGCGAGAAAGTTAGTGTTCAGTTACATAGAGTTAAAATTTAAACTGTAATTTTTTTTCTAACATGTCTCCCGCGAAGTTGTATCATTTTCCATTAAGTGCACCGTCACGCGGTGCTTGCTTGGCGGCCAAAGTAATTGGAGCGCCGATAGAAATTGAAATTATTGATTTATTCAAGAAGGAGCAGTTTAAGGAAAGTTTCCTCAAAATAAATCCTCAACATTGCGTTCCTACACTGGATGACGACGGTTTTATTCTCTGGGAGAGTCGGGCTATTGCATGTTATTTGGCGGACAAATATGGGAAAGACGACTCACTATATCCAAAAGACCTTCAACAGCGAGCCTTAGTTAACCAAAGATTATATTTCGATAGTTCATTTCTTTACGTGAAGATAAGGGCGATATGTGTATGTTTTAGAAAATTCCTTTGGTTGGGTAAAGTACTAACAACTGCTTTCTAATAACTAAAATATGTTTCATTATCAAAAACGGCTTTTATAGTCTGCTTCAATTTCTGAATTATTTTTTCAATCTTAAATATATTTTATTTATTTGCTTAATTTCAGTATCCAATTCTGTACCAAGGTGTAAAAGAAATATCAAAAGCATTAAAAGATGACTTAAACAGTACACTGAGTTTTCTCGATAAGTTTTTAGAGGGCCCTAAGTGGGTTGCAGGTGACAATTGTACAATTGCTGACACTTCCATTTATGCATCTGTGTCCGCTATATTGGTAAGTGATTTAATGTGATTTTTTTATATAAATTAGTGGAAAATGAGCAGTGGCATCCTAAATAAAAAAAAGTTATTGATGACCATGGTTATTTTTATATAATAGAAGTTTATTTTTACAGTAATTACACTTGACATTGTGTATATTATTTTATTTATATCCACACAAAATACTGTTCTTTGTAAATCAGTGTTATTTAAGTGCTTATTAGCATATTTTTTTTAATTTGCATATCCAACATTGAAAAAAATACTCAGGCATCAAACTTATCTTTTTTCAGGCTGTAGGTTGGGATATTACACAATTCCCTAACATTCAGAGATGGTTAAAAAAGTGTGCAGATTTACCTGGTTATATGGAAAGTGAAGAAGGTGCTAAATTGTTTGGCGAAGCTGTAAGAAAGAATCTTAATCAATAAAAATCTTGAATCATGTATTTTAAAAATATATTATGGAGAAATAAAAGTTTTAAATCATATTTTTTTCTTAACAAAACTAAAGATTTTTTATTGAAACAAAGAAATATAACTAAAAAACAAGATTTATAAGAAAATATCATAAACATAAATGTCTTAAGATTATGTATTTTATATACTTATTTCTTTTCTACATATAAACTGGTTTTATTTAACAATTGACAGAACCGTTTGGACATAATTTAGTATCAAGAATTGAAATAAAGAAATTTAAATTCTAAATGAAATAATTTCTAACAAAAGACTTAGTTGAAACAAATTCTAAACTTACATATCAAGAATTACACAAACATACTTGTAATGCTGCACTGCGGTACAAATAAAAATGTTTTCCAAATTAACTACAATTATCTATAAATTATAAATAATATGCTAAAGTTAACACATCTAACTTAGAAAATAGTAACTTAAATGTAAATAAAGAAATTTATTTACCTGATACATTATTGCATTTAATTTATTAACATAAAAAATATGCAAAAATGTTTTTTTCTCTATGGAATGGAATCATTATTATTAGATAATTTATGTTGTAATTTTACCATCTAAATGGTCCAACTTGCTTTGAGATACATTTGTTCAGTATAATCTATACAAATAAAAAAATCATATTTGTATGTTTATGGTCTATTATGTGTTCTAAAATCATTGAGCATATTAAAACTTTGACATTGTTCCTTATAAAATTAAAAAATATATCTTCATTGATATTATTTTGATTACTTAGACCTTTTAGGTTATTTTCAATTGGACATTGCAATACATGTCAGTTCAAATATTTTTATCTTGAAAAAATTTTACAACTAACTGACATTCATTTCTTACTCTTCTTTTTATAACAATATCTGAATTAAAACCGTACTCAGCCATGATGGATATAACTTCATTTGGAATGTTATCTTCAATTAACAATAGGTAAAACGTACCATCAACAGTAAGTATCTTTGGTATTAAATCAAGCATTCTATCTGTTACTTCCCGACCTTTTATCCCACCAGCCCAACTCGCAGTTATATCACAACTTCCACACTCATCGGAATCAGTTACAACATACGGTGGATTAAAAAGTAAAACATCAAATTTGTTACCAATAAAACAACTTCCTAGATCCATATTGATTGTCTCCAACATAACTTTGTTTTGTAATGCTGTACTTTTAGACATGGAGCAAGCTTTGAAATTGATGTCTGTGCTGAAACATACTGTCTTCGGAAATGCCATTCCGAAAGCTGTGATTACTATACCACTGCCTGAGCCTACTTCTAAGCAAAATGTTGGATTCTTACTTTTTAAATATTGCAAGTCCTTTTCCAACGCATCAATTAGCAGATAGCTGTCTTCCGCTGGTTCGTAAACATGATCAAAGTCATTCTTGTCAATGTGATTTTGTTTTGGTGTTTCCATAATGTCAGTTTATACTACCTTTATCTGAAACACCACTGGTGCCTTGCTCAGGCTCCGATAAAGGTTCTGATATTACTTTCACTTTAGGCTTATCTTTTTCTACCATACGCCTAATTTGATTTAATCTATCCTGAAAAACAAATTAATTCAAGTCAATATAGATATAAAAATTACACTTATCATGTTTCACAGCACAGAAAACCATTTTATTTTTTATAACTGTTCTAAAGGTATTTAAAGTGTATATAAAATTACCTGTGAGGCTTGTAGAATATTAAGAACAACAGTGACTTTATGTTTGCACGTAATTAATTTCTTCACATAAGGGTCCAAGTCTGGGTGATTGTTTAGTGATTCACGGACTTTTAATAATTCTTCATTCAGTGAATCTATTTGCTGCTTTAATTCCAACTGGGATATTCTAGAATAAGGTAATAATAATTAAGTAGCCTTTTTTCATTATTTAGCGAAACAAAGACACTAAGGTATACTTAGACAAAATATACTTTTATTTACCTCGTAGCCCGTACTCTGTCATCAAGTTGATCAACAGTCGGTTTAAGAAGCCCTAACAAGCCCTCTGCGAGCGTATCTCTTGTCGGGTTGTCGCATAGGTTGCCGGTGTTTTCATCAGCTGACGTTGTAGTGCTTTCTGTATCGTCCATGTCTCTTTAAGCTCTAGATTTAATGCATAGTTAAATGTTTATGCTTTAAGTTCTTATTTTACTTTCTTACGTGTTTTCGCGAGTTTTTAGGAAATTGTCAACGTCAGATGTCACTCAGTTATGTCACTTGTCATAATATTGACGTTAAAGTGTTGGTTGTGTTTGTATTTCGAAATTCTGCCAACAAACTGCAATAAGAAAACGCTTTTTATAATTTTTCTTGTGAATTGGCAAAGTGTGAAATTTATCATTTTTTAAATCAGAAACTAATTTTGCTTGAAGTTTTTTGAATTTAAGTAAAAACCATCTAAAATCAAATACGAAAAACTAAAACCGCAAACTAGTGGGCTGCCAACATTTACTCAAATGTACCAAAAATATTCTCATCACTTCCTCGTTTTAAAAAGGCAGAGAATTTATTTTAATAAAAGTATATCGGCAATTAAATAAAATATTCATTTAGGGTTCAATAAAGAAAACCAAATCAACAAATATTTTTTTATTTCTACTCATTAACAGAACAAAGAATAAATCTTTAAATCTGTAATATACAAAGTTTTCTGGTTCTAATTCTAATGGCAATGGTTATTATAACTACTGTTTTGTTTTAACTAAGAGTCTAATTTTATTGAGCAATGTTAGGATTTATCAGTTCTCAAATTCCCATTTAAGTTCGTTTTGAAGTTAAACCGATATCATCCACCTTACATCAAATTTACATGATATGGATGGAACATATTCATTTGAACTATTGGTACACTTCCTTACAACAAAGTAAGTATTTTCTTTATGAAAAATTAACAACTCTATCTACATATAGTTACAAAAAAGAATTACCTAGAAATATATTTATAATAAGTCATAATAAATAATTATATAGCTAGAATAAAACTGTAACAAACACTATCACTATATAACATCTATCAATAAAAATGTACATGAAAAATTGAGATCTCTAAGAATCTGAAAGTGTTCGCATTTGCTCCTTAACGTGTTTATCCATGTCGACAAAGTCATGTAGAATATCCTCGATCATTTCTACGAATATCGTTGGCCACTGGAGTTCGAGAGTGCGCAGGCGCTGAGCGGCGCCACAAGCGACCTCTATAGCGTGCGATAATTGACCACGTCCACGTACGCGCCAGCTCATATCTTCCTATAAGAATCACCAACATATAAAACTTTTTATATTAACAATTAAGATGGAAAGACTCTCCAGTACAATATGGATAGGCCTCCAACTTGATTGTTTCTCCTATGTACCTTACATTAGTTAAATAAATAAGAACTGATTTTACCTGAGATACTTGTCCCTTTTTAAACTGCAATGCCTCTTTAGCTATTACATCTCTGAGTGCGGGATCAGCAGCTCTGAGCCAGGCTTTAGCGCTGCTAGTGCTGTTGCTGTTGCGTCCAAGACGCGACAGCAAGGGCTGCAGGGGAGCGTCAGGTATTGCACGTAATACTATATCGCTTAGACCTTGATATGTTCTATTTGCAGATTTAAGTTCTTCTTCTGTCACCTGTCAAGGGAAGAAAAGCTTAGACTTATAATGTACTAGCTGTCGCCCGCGACTCCGCCCGCGCTGAATTAAAAAAAAAATTAGAAGCCTATGTGTTCTTCCAGACTATGATCTATATGCATGCCAAATTTCATCGAGATCCGTTCAGCCGTTTTGGAGATACCTTCAAGCAAACATCCATCTACCCATCCATTTAAACATTCGCATTAATAATATTAGTAAAGTAAGATTAAAATAAACAAAAAAGAAAGTTTTATGCATGTTTTTTTTAATTGTTTTACCTTTTCATCATTAATTTCCTTCAGACCCCAATGAGCAAGTCTATAAATGGAATATTCCCGCCAATATTTAGAGCATATTGGATTACCCTCCGGCATTATCGTCAGACCTGTTATTCCACGCAATTCAGCTAAAGCGTGTAACTGTCCGAGGTATTGGAGACCAGTAGCACGGACTGATATGTGTGTTATATTAGGAAACCTGAGTAAAAGACACACAAGTAAGATTTTAAACACATTAAGAACCCTCCAAGTCCTATACAATGGTATTACATTCGACAGGACAATTTTTTTTTAATATTAGCAGATTTTCGTTAAATTACTAATACTTCTCGTACCAGTTCAACTAAGCTCTATACTTGTGCTGGGACCTGGCGGGATTAGAACCCCCGACCTCATGATGGGAAACCCATACCCTTAACCATTAGGTTATTGACGCTTCAGAATATGTACATATGTTCCAATTTCGCCTTACCTCCCCCCGAATGATGGAGTACAGCAACCGACGATGTTACACCATAGCAAGTGTAGTCAGAAGTGGACACTAAACGATCAATTACTGAGACGTTACCTGGTTTTCAGTTCAGATAAGGACTGAGCAACAGCATTAAAATGCACGTAGTGGAAAGCGGCTCTGGTGACAGCACGAGCTCGCTCCCAGTCCCAGTCACGGGCCAGGCGTCGCACTGCGCCTGCGCCCCACGCGCTCACTGTACCCTCACATACTTCTACCAGGTAATCCACTCCTAGAATATATCATTACTAAGAGATAAAGAGGCATGCAGGTCAGTTGAGGAATTTAAATTGTAGAAGTAATTAGCAGCTTCATCGTAGAAGACATTGACATGAGAAACATACAGTAACCAAACTGTATTTTTTTTTAATTGGAAGACCAACATCCAGGTTTACAAATTAAGTATAACAATAGTTAGTAAACATATAGCCAATTATAGGTCCTCGCCGATAGTGGCATTTTACACCAAATGTTTCTTCGCGAACAAATATTACATATTAAACAAAAAGTCAACAAGCTCATAAAAACTTGTTTTAGTTTAATTATGTTTTTTCTTTGGTTTATTACTTTGTTCTTAATGAAAAAAAAAATCGATAAAAAGCCTGCTTCATAGAATTACTTGTAGAATTAAGATAAATATAAAGTGGAACTTTTAGAGTGATTGTTAACAAAAAAGCCAGCTCGTAACATAAATGAATTTTGTCGATGGTTAGAAGATGCAATAGGAAGATGAATAGGAGTGTGATGGCGTGCTGATTTCTTTGGTACATTAAATGATATTTTGGAGAGACTAGAGGGACATTATTTTTTTAGTACAATATATACTTCGTCAGTGGTCAAGCACTTGACTTGCAATCTGCAGGTCCTGGGTTCGAATCCCGCCATGTACCAATGTGTTTAAAACATAAAATAAAAAAAAACATCCGACGTTCTTACGGTGAAGGAAAACATCGTGATGCTGCACATATCTGAGAAGAAATTCAAAGATATGTGTGAAGTCAATCAACCCGCACTTGGCCAGCGTGGTTGACTATGACCTAATCACCCTTAACATAGGGTAGGCTCCGAGCCCCTCGGTGGGGACGTATAGTGAGCTGATGATGATGATGATATACTTCGTCATAGTAAATCAGCCTATAACTCTGTGTTACATTAGATATATTTATTTCTATTGCTTCCTGACATTACCTTGTTCCCTGTCTTTAGATGGTGGCATAGATTTCGGTACGGGTTCCGATGATTTCAAACTGGCTAAGCTCTTTCCTGACTTGGCTCTAGCTGTGGATGCTCTATGGCCTGAGGAGGCTCTCTCACTTCGTCTTGATATTGTCGCACTTCTCACATTTCTGTTACTTATTCTACTATTAAGGGAACCGTCTCGTCGTAATGTTCTACTGTTTTGATCACTTCCCGATGTTGATGAGGTATTTATGGATCCCGCATTTGTACTGCACGATAAATTACTAGTATTTTCAACTTGATCCTGAATTTTAGCTTTAACTTTTCGACTTTCTGGGTCACAAACTGATTTTGAACGTGAAGAAATGAAATTTTGTCTATTTCTCATTACTGTTGGCATTCTTTTTAATGGTTTCTTATTAGTTTCATCTTCACTCTCACTGCTTGAAGATGGAAAGGAACTGAATGATGAATCTATTATTGGATCGACGCTGGAAACACTTTCCCATCTTTTTAATATTGATTCTGTGCCATCGGATAGTTTAACATTTTCTAACGAAGATATAATTGGCAACAATATGGGTGGTAATCTAACATCACTGCTTGTAGACGTTGAATGTGAGACATCAGTATCTTGTGAAGCGCTTCTATCTGAAAAATTAACTCTTTTTTCTATAACTTTACGAGCTGTGGAGCTTCTTTGAAATTTTCTTACTTGTGTCTTTTTAACATCTTCATCTTTAACGTTCTTCGTACTTGCATCACTTATATTATTTTTGGAATCAGAATCTTCGGTTTCTTGATTCAAAGTAACTGCTGTCTCTGTTGTTGCATCCATTGTTTGTGTACTGTCGTTCTGCGTAA